TCGATAATTAGATTTTGTCCTTGCGCACTTTTATTTCAAAACTTTAAAGTTTCATACCATGGTATACTTACAGTTCTCTGTAGTTCTTCAACTCTTTCAAAAGCATCCAACTTGAGATTTCTTTCGTGATCCAATTGCAACAGCATTTGTTTCAGGGTCTATAAGAATAATAAACAATGAATACCACTATCTTATCGTTTAGTCAAGCAAGTGAAGTCCAATAATCAAAGCACATAGAGAATTAGTTTGCGCATGACCCATGGCGTAGAATGCCTGGACATATTGGTCGACGCCGCCTAATTTACATACGGTGATGATCTAATTACTCAAGCGCGCGGCAAATTTGAAAACAATGAGCTTCTTAACAAAGAATCGGGCGATTCTGAGTCAACCGCGCTGATAAAAAGTTCGTTTTCGGCCACTTCTTTAAAAAAAATGCGCCTTGCAACTGGAAGTAAGATGTTCTTACATTAAATCAAAGTTTGTCATTTAAGATAAAGAAATTTAAACTGCGCAAATAGTATCATTTTTGAGCTGAAAAATAGGGTTTTTGGGCCAAACACCTGAGCCGCAAATTTAAGTACACCAACAACTCAAGAAGAGCAGTCGTTAAATAATTACCGTGTCAAGGCCGAAGGCCTGCGGCACAATTTCAAAATGCAGCGACTTTATTTTTATTTTATTTTTTTCCACGTCGCAGTTTAGCGACGTTAAAACGTTAAAGGTTAAAACGTTTTTTTTGAAATATAGTTGTTCTAGTCATGTTTATTTTGTAGATATTTTCTTAATTTTACACACCAAATTATATTTGAATGACGGCTTCGAACTGAGGATCACAGGTTCGATTCTCGACTCGAGCACTTATAAACCTTCTTTTTTTAACTTTATCACAGTGTAATAGCTATTTCAACTCAAAACTATCTGGAGGAGTGCTTTTAATGGATGTGATCAGACCCACAGCATTTAACAAAATGCAATCACACAGTTCAGAGATACGAGGGTAGTACTCTTGAAATACAACATTTTAGGCTTTTATCCCAAAACGAAAAATCGGAAGTATTGAGGGTGGTGATCTTCATACTTATGCATAGCCCAAAAGGTAAAGATATTGGAACTTGGTCAAAGGTCAGTACAGATCACAGGCATGGTCTAAAGTTTGAGTTTGGGAATCTGGTCACGTGATTAACCCTAACCCAAACCCCTTACTCCAAACCTAACACTAACACTGGGCTAGGTGAAACCCTAACCTAAATTTTAAAGATATCAACTAAAAATCTAAATCTTTGTTGACAGTGAGCTGACTACGTTTTGGTTATCTCTTCGTATTTGCTGATTATCTTGAAAGGATGATCTAAGAGATAACAGATCCCTGATTTCTATTCCTATAAGATACGACAAAACGACGATTCTCGGTATACATGCATGACGCATGCAAGTCAACTTACCGATTATGGGAAAAGTAAGCTTTTAATGCTGCCTTTATGCAGCCAATAGTCTGCTGCACTATGTTAAGAAATGTTTTGTATGCTGGAAGAGGCTTAGGCTCGCTACTGGACCCAGGATTTGGTTTATGGGAAAAAATGACAAATTTCTGCCAAGAGGTTCTAATAAGTGCTCCGTGTATACTGGATTCAAAGAATTGAGGAATTTGTTAATGCACTAAAATTATTACATACCTTCTTTGATTGTTCTTGCTGAAACAAATTATGCTTTTGGTCTCGATCAAGGTTTGCTGAAAATAAAAAGGAAATCAAATTAATCTGATAACGTCAATAAGGATTCTATCTGTTGAAACAGATCAGGTGGATAACAGCAGTTGTTTGACCATTCATTTTTTTATCATTTAGAACCTTAACTTATATAGAGCTCAGACATTTTTAGCATTTAAATGCTCTTGAGTAAAAGAGCGTAAAAAATTTTCACCGAATGGTATGGGTAGAGTATAGATTTAAGGGATCGTTCATTATTTATTAGTTGTATAGTATTCGATTACATTGGATAGTTTAGATGTCATGACCAAAAACATAACACTTGCAAAAAACATCAACCTTTCTGCGAACTCAAGAAACAAGAATAGTAACGACAGCAGTCAAAAAGTTATTTCATATATAAAAACAGAATAATCTTAGTCTTTTATAGTTTTTATATATACGTTTATATAATCCTAAATAGATACCTGTCCAATTATTTATTTAACTAAGATGGTTAGATGTGGATATAAATCAAAATTGATTTAAGAAATATAAAACGGCGCTCGTGTCTCTGTCCTCTGATATAAACACGGTAGGAGTTGAAAAACACGAGAGAAGCACTATTGAAGCAAGCTCTTGTTTCTCGAGCGACCGTTTTATAGTTCTTTTATAAAATTTTGGTAAGCCGTTCTTTGTCCTCTGATATAAACATCGTCAGCCAATCAGAGGGCGCGTTACTTAATCAAAAATTTTATAACAGGTAATAAGACTCTTTTCTGTCCAATCAAGAAATAATTAGACTCGGAAAATTGTACTCGGCCGGCATCAGAGAAGAGTTAAGAGGAAACGGCTTTCTTCGCAAGGTAAGAATTGAAGTGTATGGTATTTGCTTGGGAAAATATTCTGTATTTGGGAATCTATTTAATGGATAGTGAGCGCCGTTATTTGACTATTGTTCGTGCCCCAAAAGAAAAAGTAAAGGAAGGGAATCTTTAAGCCATATCCAGTGATAAGTGACGTAAAATCGATCTCGTTAAATCGACTGATTGTTGTCATAAGAAATTGACACGTGCTTTAAAATTTATCTTATTTCACAACTGAAGCGATAAGAATTTTGTTACAAATGAATGAGCGTTTAGCCTGTTACGAGGTTGCAAGTTACGGCACCACAGTACAGCTCTTCTCTCAAGGTCACTCAAAAAGGTCCCTTGTTTATTGACTGAACAATTGTAATACCTGTCAGAAGCCGTAGCCTTTCTTCTTTGTCCTCAAGGTCGATAATCTTAAAACAAACGAACAAAAAATATGCCATTATTTATGGCGTGCCACATACTTACTTATTTTCGTCTAGAGTGAGAGCTATCCTGCTTTATAAATAATTCATGAGTAGCCTGCGTACCGTCCCTAAGGGAATTGGGGAGGGCCTAGCGGAGAATGGGAAGGAGAAGAGGAAGGGCCTGCAATAGACCCTCACAGTTTTACAAAACGCCTCCTAATAATAATTCAAAACCATATCAAAGTCATTTCCTGTAAACTTGAACATTAGGGTCCAGACTGCGGCGGACGAAAAAAAAATTATACCAATCTCTTTTTGAACACATTTATTATTCTCTCGTTAGTAGTAATTCCTTTAATGCCGCTTTTATATAATACTTTATGTATCATCTCAGCAAATGCAGAATCACCAGCGCTCATTTTTCTTGTGATTGTCTAGAGAAGACAGTTTTAAATAATACACTGAATTTTATTGTCTCAACTCGTTTCGAGTAAAAAAAGGAATCAAATTTGTGAATTTTATTTAATTTGTTTATACTTACATGTTGATATTGCAATGGAACGGAGAATCATTTGAATATTCCGACGAACAGCAAAATCATAAGAAATGAAATAGCTCAACATTTTTTAAAAATGATCATATGGAACTTATTGCCATACATCGGGTGACATTTGCTTGGATTATTGTCCAGGCTCACTCATGCATCCATGCATGCATGTATATATGCATGTAATTTATTTATTTACTTCATGAAATATAATACAATGGAGTTAATTAATATTTTGTCGTCGATCGACCTCATTAACATCATCATCTGACCATTAAATACTATTAATAGCAAAGTCACCTCTAGAAAGGAAAGTACATGTACATATAATATCACAGTTACGTTCACTGACTGATATAAATTTTTCAAATATTGAATTAACACAAAACTGCATAGTTTTGAGTACATTTTCAACATATAATAAGAAAGCAATAATTTGAAAAATTCAAGTTTGATTTTTGTTGCTTGTGCCTACAGAAGTAGTCTCCTTTNTTTTTACTTCAAGACATTCTTTTTTCGCTTTGTCTGCTTCTTCCCTTAGGCTTTCAACCTAAAACATTTTAAAACAGACGTTGACTATCCAAAGGTTCCCCATGTTAATACATGTACTTTTTTAGTACTTACAGAATCATAATAACGCGTAAAAAGTCGTGTCTTCTTCCAGTTGTTCATCGTCTTCATTTTCAGAAACTTCATAGATAAAATATAGTGAGCAAGATGAACAAAAAACGTATGTGCTTAAGGTGTGCTATCCTAACTGAACTCGACATATTGCGCTAATATACAAGTTATCACAATAAAAGTATACATTTTCAGAAAGCTGAGTAGGAGAATAAATTATTTTATCATATAATTATTCATAAATAGCTATATTTCTCCATTGCGTAAAGTTGATAGTTATTTTCACTAGTGAAAATAATACATTCAAGGTTTCTCTATATAAACCCCTTGCAAGTGACGTCAAAGCAGCTTCATCTGGAGTAGAAAACAAAACTGAGATTTTTGCCCTCTTGGGAACTAGAATCTATTCATTTGTCCTCCAGTTGGAATTGCATTCCCATGAACTGCAAGGGGTATATAGTGGAAGTAAGAAAAAAGCTATTTACGTCATAATTTGCTTTCCTTGTAATTATATGATAAACAGAATATTACATGAGCGCTTGGAGATACGAATTTTATCTTTATATAATTTTATCTTTTGTAAAATCCGTATCTTCGCGCGCCCATGTAATATCCTCTATGTAACCAAATGTACATAAACTTATACATCAAATTTACAACCCTTCAAAGTGATTTCAATATGTCGCACTAAGCAGAATTTACAAACTTCAAAGCGCGATACAAGTACCGTCTCATATTTGAGGTATACTCAACATGTGCGCTCAGTGTGAGCTTGATTTAGAACTTTTTAAAAATCATTAGTAAAAATCATAAAACGTCGGAAACACCAGTAAGTTGTTTTACCTTCTTTTTTACGGTGTTAAAATCTATCTTTTTGCACAACTATTTCTTTAGAAAATGTATACTTTTATCATGATATTATCTATTTGATATTTCATTGTTTTGGACAGAACGATGACTGAAGTGTATTATGATAACTTTATTTTATATATAATTCGCTATACTTAAGGAGAAATGGGCATCAATCACAAACCTACCATTTGACCCAAGTTTGTGTTGTCTTCCTGGAAAGCACGAATCTGCTCGCATTTCTTAATCACCTGATCCTCTCCCACAGCTACGAAACAAAATTACCAAAGATATCTACATTTTTGTTAAATTTCATGATTTTTGCGGTCATTATTTTTTACTAGAAAGAGGGTGAATTTGTGGGTTTATTGCGAACGTCTGAGCATAGTTAGCTACTAACCCATGCTCTGAGTGAGTTTTTATAGGTAATATTATTATTCCAATTATAATTACGGATATTATCATTTTGTAGTATTTACACGTTTTTACCTTTCATAGCTCCTGACTTCTCTCTCATATCTTCGAGCGCTTGCCGTCGAACTTCATTTAGATTCTCGTGAATATCATCGTACAAAAATAGTCTACATAAAAAGTATTAAAACAATGTTAAGAATTTCGTCGTACACAGGCATATTATTATTGATACTTGTTGATTCTTCTGTGCAAAATTGATTTATTTTTAACCGAGCTTTTTTAATGGCTGCTTAAGCCGAAAGCTCGGTTAAAAATAAATCAATTTTGCACAGAAGAATCAACAAGTATCAATAGTATTAAAACAGTTTATCACATGTGCTGTTCAGTATAAACTCATGGCATAAGATTTAARGAGAGCAGAAGCTCCATCCTTTAAGTTTTGAGTGACGCTTAAAGGCCCAGTGTGCACCATCATGCTTTGCGCGCCTCTGTTATTTTTTAGATTTTAGATAAAAAATACTTCTAGGGTCCAAATATCAGCATAAAAGGAATGCCCGATGGTTGAAAACTCTATTATTAGCGTTGAAAGTACTTAGGAAAGTGAGATGGTCAAGATGTGCCGAGCGGATTCGAAACAAACAGTACAGTTCAGTATAGACTTTCGKTAAACTGAAAATGCCCGCCGCCAGGCACTCGCGGCCCCCAAAACACAGTGGTGCACACTGGGCCTTTAAACATCTATAAACGATAAAAAAATTACAAATAAAAAAAAATTGTGAAGACAATTTGAGTGAATTGAAACACTCATGATCGAATTGCTCTGTTGTTTGCATGTTAATTGTACATTCAACAACATAATTTTCATTGGTCGAGAGGAATACAATTACAGCGTTTATTGTACTCCTTATAAAATTTTGTTTCACTGACGTCTGGTTCGTACGTCGAGCCAGCGTCGCGCCGAACCAAATAGTCAATCGACCCAAATACATTTRGTATAACGTTGATTCATACCTCGAACCAAATGCAGTCAAAAGCATAAGAAAAAATCCGATAAAACATGTAATTTAGACTCATTATTATTCTCGAAAAAATATATTTTTGTGCACTAAGTTAGCTCGACGTTTGAATCAGCGTTTGAATCAGCGTCGAAAAGACAAGACAAGACCTTCTAGTATACACCTAATTACGAAAACGTTGTCCTGAGATTTAGGGATTTAGGAARTTAGGAATACATGAAAAGACAAAACATGACCACTGAAGCCGAACACTTTCTTTGTATTTTAATTAATTCYTAAATAGTAAAAGTTCTTTTTTCTTGGACAACGTTTGTGTAATTAGGTGTATATGTAGGATAAACAAAGGCATATCTAAAATAGCTATATATGCCGCAACGGAACCACAAGAAATGAAATGAACACCATATCGTCTACTCCACAAGATACGGTATGTCGATCTTCTGAGAGGTGTATTTCCCCCAGGCTTTTGATCTGCTTCGTTTTCAGGTTACGTCACAGCGGCCATCTTGGAGGAACTTTACCGTTAGCCATCTATTGTTCATTCCTCCAACATGGCCGCCGGTCTWTTATCTTTTGAATCTCATGGGAATGATTGAAAACTATCAATACCTGAATTCCTCAAATTTGTTTTTCATGTCAAAACAATTACTGAACAGTTCTTGGACGAGGTTTGTAAAGTCTCTCTTTAATCGCTCGTGGATGTACTTTTCCTAAGAATTTAAATTTATGACCGTTAGTTAAGGATTTCAAAAACATTTAAAGTATAGTTTTCTACAATCATGCATAGACATCAAACAATCGTGCCAACAGCAATGCAACAACAACGAAATACCTTACACCACTATGTTTTGAATTTCACACTTTTAAGTTATTAAAACTACGTTACACTTTTTACTTGAAAAGAAAAAACAAATTCGTCAAAACAATCCGCATAGTTTTTTCATCGCAACGGTTGCACCAATCAATTTGCATCGTTCAAAGCATTTGTGATATTTCTGCAATTGAAGTCCAAAATACACGTACATATGTATACGTCAAAACTATAAATAATTTCAATGAAATGAGAGGTCAAATTATAAGCATAGCTTCTTAATTACGGAATTTCTTTACTGAAGAGTGCTAGAGAGCGCGATACATGATCTCAAATTGATTTTGATGAAGAAGCTCCCAGGGTAAAAAAAATTCACATTTTGATATTCCTGTTCGACGCTTCCTCGGGTAGGTCCTATGATGATTTTATCCGTTCTCGCGTATTTGCATTTGAAATATTTCGCACATTAGTTTACCTGRTTCATAAGTGTTTCTCTCAACTCCATGATCTTCGCACGTAAAGCCGTGATTTCTAAAAAAAAATCAGCAACAAGATGGTAACCGTGGCGATTAAAAACCAAAATGGTTTCAGGATCTTTATTTGTCACAAATACAAATGTTTTGTATTTTGATACGGCGAAATTCGGCATCTTCGGATTCCTTTGTCGAGATTCATACCACGAAAAAGGAAGAAAGACGAACGAGACTTGTAAAACTCGGCACTAACAGGCAGAGTTCTGYAAGGTAGGACAATAGGAAATGGCCTTGGCTTTAAATGGCCATTTTTCCCCATGGGGAAAAAGCTATTGAATCCATTCAAATTAAGAAGTGAAAATAATATTTATAACCGTGAAATTATACGTGCTTTTAGCAAGACCGTGAAAAATCAGTTACCATTTTACGCTAACAAGTTGTTATTTCCAAATACCTACACGAGAACAAATTTTACTTAAAGAACAGTTGGCACTTCCATATCCAATTCTATGCCAGGTCCGCAGTTATTCTTCCCCCTGGTATTGTATATAATAAAAGAATCACACCTATTGTTAAATAGCACTTAGCCTATTGTTTTCACATGTAATATAAATGTAGTTTATAGGAATGTTTTTCATTAATTTTTTTCGAGCCGAACGAGTGAGTAGAGATGCTCATTACATTTCACGCGTTTATAAAGTTATAGAACAATGTTTTGCAGCTCGTTCCGAGGCACTATCCACAAAAATCGGTTACCTGCTAATCAATGCAATGCCTTGCAGAAATCGTGAAATATTAAAATTATTATTAATTATTATATTAAGATAAGATGTCAAATTTTACAAGTCTCGTTCCTTTGAGTCTCGTTCATCACAAAGCATTCGGATCGGAAACCGAAAACTTGAATCACACCAAAGGAATCCCAAGCACTGACAGAAGAATTAAAAAGCAAGATACTTGGTGCAAGCATAGTTAGTAGAGGGGAATATTCCCCTCTACTAACTATGGTGCAAGTCTAATAGGAATGGAAAAAATGCACGCATTGAACCATGTAGCATAATTGTAAACTTTGCAGGTATACATAGTTTTGAATACTCTAAAGTGAAATGAATGTTACATTTCAGTATGATTGTAAAATTCGAAAAGAGATCATTTTCCATGAAAATAATTAATTATGACTTGAATTACAAATTCCAAAATGTTGACTTGTTCTAAAAACAATGTTTTAGGCTTTCAAAAGATCTGAACTGTACCTAATAGTTGTTCATGAGTTCTATCAGCCAAYTGACAATGGACATCCACAATAGTTTCGGTGGCATTATCTTCAAGCTCATCTTTACACTGCAATATTTCTTGCTCTCTCATGTACAGCAATTGATGTTGATGTCGCATGAGATTTTCGTAGTACATACCATAGCTGCAAAAAATACTTTCAATTCACTGCTAGCTATCAACTAGTTTGAGGTCACGTAATGTACATGAAGATTTTCTGATACTGTTAATAACAAGTGTAACAAATCACAGTGATGTTCTTTATTCTTCTATGTTCGGGAGGTTAACTAATGTCTTTCGCCACACTTCTCAGAGACCGAATCTCGACAGTTCAATCTCGACAGTTCAAACCAGCCCCAAAATCCCTCTCTCTCAAGCACGACCATGCCTTTTATCCCGAAACCTAGCCTCTCCCACGGGACAATCACACACAAAAACATTCACGAGAATACAAGACAAACACATGTCAAATCGCCCAGTCTACACAAGGAATTGCTAAAATACCTTTCAGTACTTAGAAAAACCGACAACAGAATTAAGCGATTTTCATGTGACAATTTTTACATCCCCGTGTGTAGACAATGAAAACACTCCAGTTTCGAGATCTTATTTTGTGCGAGCCAGGTAGCACCGCTCGGAACGGGTCTCATGATAGGTTGAGAAAACAATGGACAAACAATAGATAAGTCTTTCAACAATATAACAAAACCTAACCTAACAATAGTGGTGCTGTACTTAAGGAGCAATCAAAAAGCAGGTTTCAATTGGTACTGCATTACTGATTTTGTGCAGCCTCAGTTAACCTCGAAAGCATGTAATATATTCTTTTATTCAGAAGAGAATTTATTGTAATTCAAACACTCTGTCTAGAAAAAAGACAAGTTTGCACAAAAGAGAATTAGAAATTGGAGTATTGACMAATTATTATCTGACACAACTGTATTTTGGGAAAAACTGGCGGGGCTTTTCCACGAATTTTAAATGCACTCATTGTTTTGTCATTATAGTCCCTTGGTCATTAGATACCTTTGAAAACAGATTCTTTCCCTTGCGTTGATTTCTGTAGCAAGCTTAACAACACACTTGTTTAAATGCTCCTGTAAAAGAACACGCAAGCCTTAGTTTAAATATTGTGACCATAAAATTCAAAATTCTCATACTCGTGTGAGCTCCAATCTCTCGCCGTCCTCKGTGTGGCCAGCCATCAGATCTAAGACGAAGTCCTCGACCAAATGAGGTTTTGCAATGGTTGCATTTTCTTTCATTACCTTAAAGCATTATAAAGAGTAGTACATTTAGAAAACTTTTTCAAAACGCTTTGGAAACACAAAGAAAATGAAAATTATGTGCGATTTACTTTCTCTTTCGGTCAATGATACCCACTGCATTTTATTTACAAAGAAAATTAGTCATTTTTTGATCAAAATGCATGGTTGGAAACACAAAGAAAATGAAAATTATGTGCGATTTACTTTCTCTTTCGGTCAATGATACCCACTGCATTTTATTTACAAAGAAAATTAGTCATGGGATAAAACACTCTTTTAGCAGTATCTTTTATCATTTATACCATCTTATTGACGAACCAGATTCTTAGAGCGGGACACGTCGCACGCATATTGGACGCACGCTGGGTTGCCCCAAAAAACTAGTGCTGTTTGGCAACAGTCCAGCAAGGGAAACAATCCCAAGGTAGACAGAAGAAGATTTTTTTAAAAAKAGACTGTCAATCAATCAGTCTCAAGTCATTCAACATCATCAATACCTCGTGGGAACAACTAGACAAGGACCGTGCGATTTTGTGTTCGCTGTTCCGAAAACAACGCTTCTGCATGCGAAGCTAAAACGACAGCCAACGCCGAACACAAAGCAGSAAAGAAAGCAAAAGGCMATAATCCGTCTTCATGAACAATYCAATGCCCTAACTGYAGGCGGCTCTTTTCTACGCAGATTGACTTTACTWGCYATCTGCACACAAACAGATTAACCACTCCGGGACAAATTAAAGGAATATAGATATAAAGAACAACAGTAACAGTATGATATATACCCGATTCAAGAAGTTCAGAAAAACAGGAGAAATTGTTATTTTCTGGCTTTTTAGTTAYCAAAGAAAACATTTCAACAGAAACATAAAATGACACGAACTGTATCAATAGCAATTCTATAAAAATCGGTTTCGYGTCACAGGCACTTTAAAACAGATATGTACCCATACCCGTAATGTCTACCACCSAATCCCACAATTATTTATATGTCCTTATATATCCCATTGTTTATTGAATATTACTGTTTCCAAAATAAACGTTTAGAGGATATTAAGCTTTGAAAATTCATTCACCAGCCTCGTCTCCATRCTGATRAAAAATTTCACACGGGTTCAATTTTGAGCATGTTTCCCTCAATAGATGTAATGATTTTTTAGTATGTYGTTTTYGCTGCTATTAAAGATCAAATAATGCAGAAAAACCTGTTGCAATAAGTGCTGGTTCTAAGCGTACATTGACTGGACTAATATTTTGAACATTCTGTACGCGTTTCTTCTCTGAGACTTCTAAAAAATACAGGATTACTTACCGGTCTCTTCCACAAATCGGTTGGAAGTGTTGTGTCGTCTCGGCCTCTTTCCGATACTACCAGAGTATGCTCACGTGATATGCGCCTCATGACGTCACCAATCATTGTGCATTCGAGACTTTCAAGTAAACGAACAACCTGTAGAAACCCAATGCATACTGACATTTTGATTTTTTTATCAAAATTCTCTTGGTACATTCGCGAAAATATGTACACCAAAACTGTTTTAAGGATGCCCAAGAATTTGTAAACGTGTTGAAAACTAGATCTAGCTACAATTTTCTTGGGTTCATTCTATGTCATCCAATATACCCTAAATTAAAGAGTACTTTCTTCTTATTAGACCTTACCAACTCTAGCCGAATAAAACAAAAACTTTGTCATTTAATATATAAAACACCTGATGCTATACAAACCTGTTTAATTTTCAGTTCCATTTCAGTTGAACCAGGAGGAGATGCCAAAGGCTCATCATCACTAGTCAATGACCCAAGTGCAGCGTATTCTTGTCCCTTCGAAAATTAAAYACCGTTGTTAGTTAAAAAAATGAAAGATTTTACTCACAAATACTTTTCTGAATTTTGGTCAAATAAGGTAAATATTAGCTCAACAGGTCATGTGAAAATATTTTGCGTCAAACAAGTCAAACATGATTAATAAATTTTGAGAATTATTTTCAAAAGGTTACAAATTTTGACCATAGGAAAGCAGAACAAATTAAATTATCTGTTGAGTCAGGTGGATATAATGGGATTGCATACGAGCAGCGTTTTTGTCACCTTTTTGACGTAAAAGCTGTTGGTAACGAATTTCATTAGTTAACTCTTTTCCCAACTGTCCCTTGAATTTTAGGTCGAATTCGAGCTATGCGTAAATCTATAGGCTACCAAAATAGTAAGTTATAGGCCTGAAATTGCTCGTACGAACTTACTAGTAGATATTGTCGAAGAATTTCGCAACGCGGAAAAAAGGCACAAAATGCCAAAATTTGCGTTTGAAGGACCGCAGGAAACACTGATTTCCAGCTCAATCTGTAGCGTTAAAATATGCTCTCCTGGCAAAAGTCCACTTTGTTTGCAAAACCCTTTGATAAAACGTGACGTTTTTTTTTGTCAACGATTCACTGCAGACGTCTTAACAGCCCTCTTTTGAAGACCCAGACCCGGTACAACAAACTTCTATGCACTATCAAAATGGCAAAGGTGTAGTAAGGCACCAAAAAGCATTATTTTTCCAACATTGCAAAAAAAAAAAAAAAATTCATTTGCACTATAAAAGTATTTTGCAGAACGGTCATTACTCGAACCCTTTTATCCTTTTATTTTTGGGTTAAATTTTTTTATACTGTTGATGACTCCCAAG